CGCCCCCGCGGCCCGGTCCATGACCAGGCCCTCCCGATGGATCAGGCCTGATCAACTAGGCTGTTACTGTGGCCGCACGCAGTCCAACGTACGAGCCACACCCCGGGCTGCCCGGGCACTGACTTTAGGTACTGTCCAGCTCTCTCTTGAAGGCAGCCAGGGGTTTATTGGCAATTCCCCTAACTTAATGGGAGGCTGTTGAAAGTCTTGGGCCCCGGACACTTATGATGTTTCCTTAGTGTACCAACGGCCGCCCCTACTTTTTATTGGCGGCATTTTGCATCGCCTCCCCAGTCTTTTACTTTCGTAGGGGGGTGATTTCTGTGTGCAGTTTTGGGGACCATTCCTTCCAAGATTTTCCAAGTGTAGATTTTTGATATATCTCTCCCTCCTGCGTTTCAACGAGTACAAGTCAAGTGCTTCCAAGCGTTCCCAGTAGTTAAGGTGCTTGACAGAACTTATACGTGCAGTAAAGGATCTCTGTATATCTCTAGATCTGCGATTTTCACCTGCTTTGAATGGAGATGTTAATGTACAGCAGTTTTCCCAGCCTAGAGAAAACAAGGGGTTTTGAAAAGGATCATCATTGGCTTGGCATCTCTCGTTTTGAAACGTTCTCATTATCCACCCTATCTTTTTCTTTGCACGTGCGATCGTGGCACTGTTGTGATCCTTTGAAAGTGAGACCCCTCAGATATTACTACTCCCAGGCCCCTTACATTATTTTTCCGTTCTATTGTAGGCCAGAGTCCTGTGGTATACTCTGTTCTATTTATTATCTCCTCCAGTTTTCTATAACGGAGTAGTTGGAATTTGTCCTCTTGAACACCAGGCCCTGTGGCCTGGTGGCTAAAGCTCCCGCTTCACACACGGAGGGCCCCAGGTTCGATTCCCGGGGGGTGGAAACATTCGACACGTTTCCTTAAAACCTGTTGTCCTGTTCACCTAGCACAAAAGGTACCTGGGTGTTAGTCGACTGGTGTGGGTCGCATCCGGGGGGACAAGATTAAGGACCCCAATGGAAATAAGTTAGACAGTCCTCGATGACGCACTGACTTTCTTGGGTTTCCTGGGTGGCTAACCCTCCGGGGTTAAAAATCCGAACGAAATCTCTTATTCTTTACCGTTGCCCACGGGAAAAACTTGTTTATATCTTCTTGGAGGTTAACCCGTCCTCAGCAGATGACAGCCTCATGCAGATCCTATATCATCCGCAAAGGATGATAGGGTGCTGTGATGTATATCTCTGTCTATGTCTGGTATGAGGATAAGGAATAAGATGGGGGCGAGTATTGTGCCTTGTGGAACAAGCTCTTCACTATGGCAGCCTCCGTTTTAACTCTGTTGACCACTACTTTTTGTGTTCGATTTGTTAGGAAGTTGAAGATCCATCTCCCCACTTCCCATTATTCCTTTAGCACGTATTTTATGGGCTTTTACACCATGATCGCATTTGTCAAATGTTTTGCAAAGTCTGTGTATATTACATCTGCATTTGATTTTCTTCCAGTGCATCCAAGGCCATATCATAGTGATCCAGTAGTTGTGAGAGGCAGGAGCGACCTGCCCTAAAACCCATTTTGCCCTGGATTGTGCAGATTTTGGGAATTCAGGTGATTTGAAAGTCCTGCTTCTTAGCATCCTTTCAAAGATTTTTATGATGGGGGACGTCAGAGCTTTTGGTCTATAGTTCTTAGCTAATGCTTGCTGCCACCTTTATGAAGTGGGGTTTATATCCGTTGTTTTAAGTGAGGGTGGAATTTCACCCATTTTCCAAGCTCCTCCTCCATAGTGTACTTAGGGCACACGAGGGGGGTTTTTCTTGCAGTTCTTAATGAAAACAGAGTTCCACGAGGTCTGGGCCTGGGGCTGAGTGCATGGGCATGTTTGTCAATGGCTTTTTCGAAATCTATCGGAGTTAGGGTAATGTCGGAAATCTGCATACATTTATGGAGTTTTGAGGCTCATTCAAAAAGAAATCTTTTGGGTTCGTCGATCCTGAGGCCGATTAGTGGTTCACTAAACACAGAGTCATACTGGGATTTCAGTATTTCACTCATTTCCTTGTTGTCATCTGTGTAAGTCCCATCCTGTCTGAGTAAAGGCCCATACTAGATTGGTATTTGCCTTGTTTTTGGCATATGAAAAAAAAATATTTTGATTTCTTTCAATTTCACTAATAGCTTTAAGCTCCTCCTGCCTCTCCTGGTTCCTGTAAGAACCATTTAGCTTAAGTTCGATAGTTTTCCACTTCCCTGGTCAGTGCCCCCTTTTCGTGTATCAGATGTTCTAGCACTCCTGAGGAGCTCAGTGACTCTTCTTCGTCTTCTGTAGAGGGAGCGTCTTTTTCTCCCAGTTTACTCCCGCTCTTCTTCTTTCTTAGGGGAATATGCCTAGAACATGCTTCGGCACCAGGAAGTTGATCTTTCAAGGCACTGGTTTGGATCCATGTCATTTAAGACATCTTCCCAACATGTTTCGTTTAGGACATGGTTTACCTGTCCAGTTGATGTTCTTGTTGTTGAAGTTGTATTTTGTGAAGACACCTTCACAGGTACATGCATTCTGCTGATCGGGACCCCTATGCAGGGTACGCCCTGGACTTCGATTGGGTTGTGTTTCGGAATTTGTTGTTTTTGATATTCTTTATGTCTCTATCAGGTCCTCATTATTGTGAAGATAAGGTCAAGTGTGTTTTCTAGTCTTGTTGGCTCCACTTCTGCTGTTAAGGTGTGTTTTTTCGCAGAGACTTAGTAGCTCATGTGGTGTGACATTTCATCTGCGTACCCCGGGATTGTTTTCAGCAATAACATTATTTTGCTACATTCTTTCATTTTATATGCTTAGGTTGAAATCACAAAGCAGTAAGATGTTTGGGATGGAGCTGGAAGGTTTTCCAAACAGTAATCAATTTTCAGTAGCTGTTCCTTGAAACTGTTTTGGGGTTTTGAAATCTGGTGGCTTATATACAACCACAATGACCGGGTTTTTGGTTCTCGATCTTTATTGACAGCTTCAACTACCATTTGTGGTGTTCAGCAACTCCGTGCAGATGAGGGACTCTTTGACTACAGGCCAACCCCCTCCCCTTGTTGCCTGTTTTTTCTGTTGATCTAAAAAGGTTGTAACCACTTATCCATATTTCACTGTGAAAGTGATTTTTTTGCGTGATCTCTGTGAAGGCTGCAAACATTGCATTGACTCCTCTAAAGCCCCACTGATAAAAGGTATTTTGTTGTTGGGGGATGGCTTAAGGCCTGAAATATTAGCAAATGAACGGGGGTTGTATTCTGTGTTTGGTTGGGAGATTTTGTTATTGGCATCAGTAGTTGTAATTCTGGAGGCCAGGGGTGGCCACTGGCTGCGCCTCCAGTCCAACAAGGGGCTCCAAGGTAGTGGACTATTTTTGTTATTTCCTTCCATTTCTTTTTCCTTTTCCCTTTGCCACTAAAAAATCACCTGGAGTTGGGTTGTAGCTGCTTTGTTTGTCTTGTGGGTCTGTGCCTCCTGGTCCCTTTAGATGGTATGCAGGGCAGTCGATGTTGTAACACTGCTTCTGGGACCGAGGAGTGACACATTTTGGTGAAAGAAATTTACAGGAAGAAAACGACACAGTCCTTTAGACAGGAGCCCGCTACATTTTTTGGGATGCTCAAAGTTGCATGTCCCCTTTTTTTCCTGATATGCCATGCTTACAGATGCCAAAGCATAATATTTGCACAAAAATTTACCTTTGGTTGAGATTGTTTGGGGCTGCACATAATCCTCAGTATCCAAGTCAGGGCCACCCCGTCCTGGATTCCCTCTACTTTCCCCGCAGAAGAAGAAGGAGGAGACTCCTCTCCAACATCTGAACTGTGGGCCACGGTCTTGTGCAATGATGGTTATATATTTACGGGTTTTTTGTGGTGGTTTTGGTAGGGTCCATAGTAGAGTCTGAGCTGGCAGTAAGGCTGGGGGCTGGATCTGAGTCAGCACTGGGGCTGGGGGCTGAGCCTGGGCCAGCGGCCGGGCCTGGGTCAGCGGCTGGGCCTGGGCCAGCGGCTGACCTGGGCCACGGCTGGGCCTGGCCAGCGACTGGGCCTGGGCCAGTGGCTGGCCTGGGCCAGCACCAGCACTGTGGGGGATTAGTGCTGTGATTGGGGGATGGGTCTGGTTTAGCACATGTGGGTGACTATCACATTAAAGTGATGGTCACACTTTAACAACCACAATAAAGTGATGGTCACACTCAACAATCACAATAAAGTGGTCACACACACCAACAATCACAATAAAGTGATGGTCACACTCAACAATCACAAAAAGTGATGGTCACACTCAAAAAACCACAATAAAGTGATGGCACACTCAACAATCACAATAAAGTGATGGTCACACTCAACAATCACAATAAAGTGATGGTCACACTCAACAATCACAATAAAGTGATGGTCACACTCAACAATCACAATAAAGTGATGGTCACACTCAACAATCACAATAAAGTGATGGCACACTCAACAACCACAATAAAGGATGGTCCACACTCAACAATCACAATAAGTGATGGTCACACTCAACAATCACAATAAAGTGATGGTCACACTCAACAATCTGCTTCATCTTATGTAGTTAACAAAATATATCCTGCCCTTTTCTTCAAACTTGTTTTCAAAAAATAAAACTTCCAAATGTCCGAGGAATAAGAAACGGAACTTAAGTTTTTCAGTGGCATTTCTACCTTATACTGGAAGAAACGTTACGGATATAGCAGAAGTTTTATTTTTATTTTATCTTACTCTGCCCGGTAAGAGGCTCTTGATCCAAGGGATTGGACTTATCTTTTCTTTGAATATATGTAATTGACTTAATTCCGCTGGGCACTATGACCCCTACAAGTTTTGCACTTCCTCTTGATTAAACCATAATTAACTGTCTTATTCTAAACTGTTTTATTCTAAACTGTTTTTTTTCTAAACTGTCTCACTGTAACATAACAAACATTGTTAGTGACTCACCAGATTTTTACCGGGTTTGTTGAAAGTTTTCACAGCAGCTGAGCTCCTGGTGACCTGCTGAAGATAAGTTATAACTCAGTTGACTACTGACTTAGGTGGGTTACCAGAGACTCAGTTCATTTACTAAAGACTCAGGTGAACTACTATTAGCTCAGGTGAATTATTAGTGACTCAGTTTAACTACCAGTGACTCAGTTCAACTGCCAGTGACTCATTTCAACTGCCAGTGACTCAGTTCAACTACTGGTGACTCAACTGAACTGCTAGTGACTCACTTCACTACCAGTGACTCAGCTCAATTACTAATGAATCAGTTCAACTATCAGTGACTCAATTCAACTACTAATGACTCAGTTCAATTACTAGCGAATCAGTTCAACTACCAGAGACTCTGTTCAACTTATAGTGAATCAGTTCAACTACCAATGACTTAGTTCATCTACCAGTGACTCATTTCAACTACTCCCTAATTCTGTTCAGCTATCAGTGCTCAGTTCAACTACCATTGACTCATTTCAACTATTAGTGAATCAGTTCAACTACCAGTGACTCTGTTCAACTAATAGTGAATAAATTCAACTACCAGTGATTAATTTCAACTGCTAGTGACTCAGTTCAACTATCAGTGGGCTCAATTAAACTACCAGTGACTCAGGCCAACTACTAGTGACTCAGTACACCTACCTGTGAAATCAGTTCAATTACTAGTAACTCAGTTCAACTGCAGTGACTCAATTCAACCACCAGTGACTCAATTCAACTACTATGACTCAGTTCAACTACTAGTGACTCAGTTGAGCCACCAGTGACTCAATTCAAAATACCAGTCACTCAGTTTTAACTACTAGGGACTCGGTTCAACTATCAGCCACTCAGTTCAACTTCCAGTGACTCAGTTTTAACTACCAGTGACTCAGTTCAACTAACAGTGACTCAAATCAACTGCTCGTGGACTCACTTCAACTACTAGTGACGCAATTCAAATAATAGTGACACAGTTCAATTACCAGTCCCTCAGTTTCAACTACCAGTGACTCAGTTCAACTACCATGACTCAGTTTCAACTGCCAGTGCTCAGTTCAACTGCCAGTGACTCAGTTCAACTACCAGTGACTCAGTTCAACTACCAGTGACTCAGTTCAATACCAGTGACTCAGTTAACTACTAATGAATCATTTCAACTGCCAGTGACTCAGTTCAACTGCCAGTGACTCAGTTCAACTACCAGTGATTCACTTCAACTTCTAGTGACTCGGTTCAACTAATAGTGACTCATTTCAATTACTAGTGGCTCAGTACAATTACCAATGACTCATTTCAACTACAAGTGACTTAGTTCCACTACCAGTGACTCACTTCAACTACTAGTGACTCATCAGCTACTAGCGACTTGGTTCAACTACTAGTGACTCAGTCCAACTACTAGTGACTCAGTTCAACTAATAGTGACTCATTCCAACTATTAGTGACTCATTTCAACATTCTGTGACTCAGTTCAAGTACTAGTGATTCAGTTCAACTACTATTGACTTAGTACACCTTTTAGTGACTCAGTTCAACTATTTTGATGATTATTTAAAGACTCAATTAATTACTAGTGACTCAGTAGACACACGATGCTAAAGGTAAACCAAAAGCGACACTACTGAACTACTAAAATGACTAAACTGACTTCAAAAGTAACTCACTTGTCTCGTGAAGGAAATCATCTGACTGAAGCATAACAGTAAAGTGCACACTGTTCTGAAGTGTTAATAGAGTGATGACAATACTGTAATTCCCAGCCTTCTGTGTGACTCTTCTGATGTGACTACATTGTTTGTTCTTTTCCACAACTCGCTATCATAAAATTTGTTGACTGGACGTGGCACTATGGTGGTGGGCGCAGATAGATGGTGTCAAATTATGCATGGAAAGTGGGGTAGCCAATGTCTCCAGCTGTCACTGGTTTATTCGTGCTGCATTCAGTGATTTGCAAAAACTCGGTAGCTCGGTTGGTAGCACACTCAGTTCAGACACTGAGGTCCGTGGGTTTGATCCCGGTACGCGTTCAACATTAGGGCGTGTTTCTTTAAGACACCTACTGTCCCTGTTCACTTAGCAGCAAGTAGAAACATGGATGTTAGTCGACTGGTGTAGGTCGCATAATGGGGACAAAATTAGCCTAAATTCCCCGAAATATTCTGCATAACCAGGGGGCTGTCTATATTGTATATCATTGACGTCAAGTAATGAGGCTGACGAAGGAAGGAGCTCATTTGGAATTACCAGTAACTCTGTGAGGAGCTGAACGAAATATATAAGAGGTATTCTAGTGGAATCAGGAACATTATCAAAAAGCCAAAGTGAGTCCACCAACGAACACTGGACACAATGTACACGCCAGAAGGAAAGGTGAGGGGAAATACCTAGGAAGCTAGACAACAGGACCAGAAACATCTCTCCGTAAGTTCTGTGAAAGGAAGCAGAGGAACTGCGCGAACCACTAGCAGCGATCCTCAACAAGTCATTTGAGACAGGGCAGCTGCCAGAAGTCTGGAAAACAGTGAATGTAGTCCCAATTTTTAAAGAGGAGGAGACAGGTGTCATTGAATTACAGACCAGCGTCACTAACAAGAATAATATGTACCCATGAAGATTATCAGAAGAAGAGTGGAGCACCTGGAAAGCCGTCGATATATATGCAACTTCCAGCATAGTTTTTGTGATGTAAATTCTTGCAGAGGGAGAGAGGGGAGAGAGAGAGAGAGAGAGAGAGGAGAGAGAAAAGAGAAGAGGAGAGAGAGAGAGAGGGAGAGAGAGAGAGAGGGGGAGGAGAGAGAAGAGGGGAAGAGAGAGAGAGAGAGAAGATGAAAAGAAGAGAGGAGAGAGAGAGAGAGAGAAGAGGAGAGAGAGAAGAGAGAGGGAAGGAGGAAGAAGAAGAAGAAGAAGAAGAAGAAGAAGAGGAAGAAGAAGAAGAAGTTGATATCCTTAGGGTGAAATTTGACTCCAAGCTGACCACGAAGAACGACGCTGTAAATCTTGCAAACAAGGCAGCCAGGAAGCTTACAGCATTTTACCTTATCTCACATCTGCTTGACAGTAGGGAGCGGTGCTCACCGTAATTTCGACAGGAGCAATATGTGCCTTTTGCACCGGCCAGTTAATTTTGTCCACCAGCCAACTTGGCCCTTTAAACCACGATAAAGCACTCACAAATTTTTCATAAGTCAAGCCTCGAGACAAGAAGTCAGCTGGGTTCTCGTCACCAGGAATGTGATTAAAGGTTAACATATGCTGACCCAAACTGTTATATTTCTCCTGCATTTGATTGATTTCAGCGACTCTGTTTTGTACATACACAATTTTACTGTTACCATTACGAATCCATTGTAAGGATACCTCGTTATCAGACCAAATTACGGTGTCCGCTGATATTTTTCTCTCGCAATTTATTTCTTATATAATTGGCTAATTTGACACCTACATAAATGGCCGTTAATTCCAACTGAGGTAAGGTGCGTGATTTGATTGGAGCCACCTTAGCCTTAGACATAACAAGGGGAAATGGCACTATTACATTTAAGGGAAGCGACTGCTCCATATGCTAATTTCGAAGCATCGCAAAAAATGTGGAGTAAATTTTCTCCATCTTGACTGGCCACATTACGGGGGAACTTTTAACATTGGTAATTTTACATATTCCCCTATTAGTTCTTCCCACCTTTCAACAAATTCCTCGGGGAGGGTTTCATCCCCAAACACACTTAAGCTTTCCCGCTTCTTGTATCAACAATTTTCCTCTTATGGAAGTGGGGACACTAAGCCTAGTGGATCGAAGCATTTTTTAAACTTCTGCAAGCAAGACTTCTTGGGTTTAAATTTATTGGGGGAGCTGTGCTTAGACTTTAACGATAACAAAATCTCCCTCTGAATTTCAGCACCCAATATCCAGCATATAACCAAAAAAGTATCCAAAACGGTTGGGATCCTCTCCAAGATACGATACTACGTGCCGCAAAATGCCTTCTCACTCTATACCATCACTTATTTTATCCATACCTCACTATGCTATTTGTGCTTGGGGCTCAACTGCAGCAACACACCTAAAGCCAATAATACCATCAAAAAGCTGGCAGTAAGAATATTCACTAAATCCCATCCCTGGCAACTCACACCCCCCCCACTCTTCATAGACCATAAACTTACTCCCAGTTCGTAACATCCACACTACTACTGTGCATCTACTCTACAGGGACTTAACTCTATATCAACCTGACCTAAAAACGCTTTTTGATAGTTGTGACAGAATCCCACGGCTAACACCAGACTCAAAATCTCTGCGCATTCCCATTGGTCCGACTAAACCTTTACAAAAATTCATTGTATGTAAAGGCCCTAAAATCTGGATACCATACATGAGAACTCTAGGCAACTGCAGACACCATTCCTCACCTTCAGTACTACCATTAGAAAACATTTGTCTCCCTGATACACCCCGTCAACTAACTACACGATTACCACTGGCTGGTTCACACTTACACTCACTCACTCATATTGACCATAAACGAAATAAATTAATCTCCAATCTTAAAATAATGAATCCTGTGATACTCCATACTGACACTATGTACTGTGCCAAACAAAAGCATTCACATTGCTAGACTCACAAAACCTGTATTTAGTCAGTAGCCATAAATACCAACTTACCTCATAATTTGTAATACTTTTACAATTAAGAATAAAAACTAAGTCTGCCCGAAATGCCTAGCCATGCTAAGCGTTCTAGTGGTACACTCTGTTAATCACTATTTTACTACATGTTAACCTCACCATATCAAATTTCTGTAACTCAGCATTGTAATCCTTATGAGAATAAACTTTGAATTTGAATTTGAAAATTGAACCAGGGACTCAGTTGAACTACCAGTGAATCTGTTCAACTTCGAGTGATTCAGATCACCTAGCATTGAGCCACTTCAAACTACAAGTGTTTCATTTCAACTTAGTGACTAAGTTGTTTTTTTTTTTTTTTTTTTTTTTTTTTTTTTTTTTTTTTTTTTTTTGTTTTTTTTTTT